TTGCAACGATGGCGGTTCGGATGGTCAAGCCAAGCCGGAGGTAGCAACCCTTGCTGCAGAGATGGGGCACGACTTCAACTTTGACGCGGTTGAAATTGTGGGCTGAGGCGATGATCACACATCAAGGCAGATTAAAGAAGCCTGGATGTCGACCGATTGTTCAATAAACCACCACATAAATTCACCGGTCCCCTATGTCATTAGAGAGCAGTCACAGCACGAAACAACTGGGGCTGTCAACCAGCTCCACGGCCAACGTGTGTAGGCCTGGAACAAGACGGAGCGGTATAAAGACGAGAACCATGAGCCAGAGTGTTCATTCTTTGAAGATGGCCAGACGGGCCAACTACCCGAAATGTCAGACTTTGAATAAACCTCTGTTTCTTCTGATATGCCACCTGGGAATCCAGTATTCAGCACTATTACGGAATGCACATCTGACTAGGAGGGGAGATAAGGTTCGCTCGAAAAAAAAACAACAACAACGAGGGATTGTAAAGGGCAATGCAACGAAATAGGCGAAACAATAGGCCATCAAGAGAGGCCTGGACCAACCTTCGACAAAGATTTTGAAAGAGGTGGTAGTGTGTGCCTGCTCGTGCGGGGGCAGACACCGGATGGCCACGTTGATAGGCATTGGAGCGCCGTGTTTAATGGAGATGGCCCATTGGTTGAATTCGAAACTATTGTAGTACTGGATGAAGCCAGCAAACAGTTCGGACAGGGTGGCTGTGTTACTACTGCGCAATTCCGCCCAGGGCAACTCTAGCCGCATGTCCAACTCGTTCACCGGACGCTCGTAATTGAACAGTTTCTGTGGGCAGGACAATAAAGCAATGGAGTAGACTTGACTGTCTAAGTATAGTACACATTAGAAGATTGTTTATTAAAAAGATCCGCTACCAATGACCGAACCATCAGCGGCGGTCTACAGCATCCCTTGCCAAGATTGTGATGCAAAGTATATCGGTGAAACAGGCAAACGTCTTGGCACGAGGTTGCATGAACACCAGCTCGCAATCAACCGCGAGGAAAAGCTTTCTGTGGTCTACGGCCACATGCAGCAGCGGAACCACATTTTCGCCTTTGAGAAAACAAGGGTGATCGACAGGGCCAATGATAAAATGGCTAGACTAGTGCTCGAAAGCTGGTCGTCGACTGGCAAACTCAACAGAGCCATCGAGTTAAACC